CAGGTGAGCTGGTGACCCAGACCTGGTACACCTGCACAGGTGAGCTGGTGACCCAGACCTGGTACACCTGCACAGGTGAGCCTGTGACTCTGTCCTGGTACACCTGCACAGGTGAGCTGATGACCCAAACCTGCTTCTGGCTGGTGCTGGGATAGGGCAGAGACCCCAACTCTGCTCCTGCATCTATACTTACTATGTACTCTTTACATTGCAAGAGTCCAGTGACCACACAGGACTTGTGTCCCGTGTCCTGGATGGTGCTGCTTGGAGTGACAAAGGCCCTGTGTGTTTGGAGCAGCAGCCAGCAGGGACGGGGGCTGTGAGCAGAGCTGGGCTCAGATGGTGGCTCTTTTCTCTGAGTGCAACGAGGGCCCAGCGTTGCTGTCAGGCTAACTTTGGTTTTCAGGTCACTCTGGCTGCTGGCCTGAATGTGGACTGCAGTGGGGAGGGCAAAGGTGGCAGAGGAAGGTGTGTGAGAGGAGACAGCAATAACAACCCTGGGTCTGGCTGAGAAGGGCCTTAGACCCAGGAGGAAGTTGAGACTGAGGCTGGACATGGAGCTTTGGTCTGAGCCATGGGAGGGGGAGACAGGGAGACATGGTAGGGGGGGAGGGGGGGGACAAGGAAGATCAGACTTTTGTTTTGAGCAGCTTGGGTTTGATGTCCCCTAAGGTTATGGAGGTGACATGGAGGGGAACCCAGTCCCAGGTATCTGAAGCTGAGGGGTGAGGTATGCCTGTCCCTTCACTGCACATACAGGAGGTCCTCATGTTTTGGGGTCTGGGGCACCATCGAGGTTGGTCTGACCAGCCCAGCCTCTGCCTGGCACAGGGGTGGGGTCCTGGCATTAGAAGGTAGGAAGCTGGTCTGCCGTTGCCCCCATTTCTCAGAGCCACGTGTTCATGTCCCCAGGGTGTTATTACCGCTGTCTGCCGTTGCCCCCATTTCTCAGAGCCACGTGTTCATGTCCCCAGGGTGTTATTACCGCTGTCACAGCAAGTGCCTGAACCTCATCTCCAAGCCCTGTGTACGGTCCCAGGTCAGCCACCAAGCCGAGTACGAGCTGAACATCTGCCCTGAGGTCGGGCTGGACTGCCAGGACTACCGCTGCGCAGAGTGCCGCGCGCCCATCTCCCTGCGTGAGGCCCCGGGAGCGGGGCATGGGACGGGGGACACAGGGTCAGGTCCGGGTGCTCGTCCCGCCACTGTCCTCAAGTCCCCCCGAGGGCCCAGTGTGGGCAAGCTGAAAGTCAGGCGTTCCTGACTACCCACACCGACCCGAGCGGGTGGCCAGAGGAGCTGCGGAAGCAGGGCATGCGTGTGCCACGTGCTGGAGATGCGCACAACTGATGCGCAGAGAGAGAGAGGCGGAGTCGAGTGTGGATGGGAGGTTGCTGTGGGCATTGCACACGTGGGGTGGGGGGGGCGTGGACTGGCTGGCCCTTGGGGCCACCCTTCCTGGTCCCAAGCGCTGTGCTCTGCAGGGGGCGTGCCCAGTGAGGCCCGGCAGTGTGACTACACTGGGCAGTACTACTGCAGCCACTGCCACTGGAACGACCTGGCTGTCATCCCTGCTCGCGTCATCCACAACTGGGACTTCGAGCCCCGCAAGGTGAAGGCGCCGCAGGGGAAGGGGAAGTGGGCGTGGTCCTACCCAAGGGGTGGTTCCTTGTGCAGTGGATGTAGTTTTGAGGCCGGTGTGGGTGTGAGGTCTCCTGGTGAACGTGATCATCCGTGGGTGGTGTGGTCACAGTGCCGTGGGTGTGGTCTTGGATTGGCGGTGTGGCCCTGAACATGGAGTGTGGTCTTGGGGTGGGGGCGTGGTGCTGCGGCAGAGTATGGTCCTAATGCAGTGGTTGTAGTCTTGAGGCAGGATGTTCTCAGGGTGGGGGCGTGGTCCTGTGCAAGGGTTATGGTCCTAGAGCAGCCGGTTTGATCTTTGGGGGAAGGGGGGGGTGGTCTTGGGAATGAGTCTGCTGAGCAGGTCTGAGAGGGCAGAGGGCTGTTCCTGGGGAGGAGGGACAGGGACTGTGGCCGGGGTTGGGGGGCAGGCGAGCATCAGTAGTACCACTCATCTCCTCCTAGGTGTCCCGCTGCAGCATGCGCTACCTGGCGCTGATGGTGTCCAGACCCGTCCTGCGGCTCCGCGAGATCAACCCGTTGCTCTTCAACTATGTGGAGGAGCTGGTGGAGATCCGGGTGAGGGGCTGGGCCAGGAGGGGCGGCGATGGGGACAGGGCAGAGGGCCAGTCTGTGCCTTCTGGGTGAGGGAGCTGGGCGGTGGTGGGGTGAGGGGCTGTCCTCCTGGTGAGGGCGTGGGGCAAGTGGGTGGTGGTGGTGGTGGTAGGGAGTAATGGAGTGGAGCTGCCTGCTAGGGTCCTGGGGTGGGAGTGGGCAGGGTTCATTCTCCCCCAGGTGAGAGGGAACAGGGAGGGCTAGGGTCTGACAGGATCTGGTCTCCAGTCCTAGTGTAGAATAGGGAGGAATTGGGATCATTTAACTCACCTGACATCCACATTGAAGAAGAAAATAGGAGCAGCTAATCTTGAAGTAGTCTAACTCCGTGTACAAAGTGATTTCTGCATGCAATCAATGGATACAATCACTGGGACATTTTATCTAAGTCTTCCATGGAAGCAGTAGTCAAGAGATTAAAAGACCTCCTTAGAATGCTGAAAAGCAAAAATGTTACTTTGAGGACTAAGGTACACCTGACCCAAGCCATGGTATTGTCAATTGCTTCCCATACATATGAAAGTTGGACATTCAATAAGGAAGACCAAAGAAGAATGGGTGCATTTGAATCATGGTGCTGGAACAGAACATTAAAAGTACCATGGACAGCTGAAAGGACAACCCGATCTGTATTGGAAGAAGTAAGGCCAGAATGCTTCTGTGTTAGGTCAGATTGACCAGAGAAACAAATCCAGTGACACTCATATGTGTATGAAAGAGCTCTATATCAAGAAGTAATTGTATATAAGGAAAACATCCAATTAAGTCCAGTGACACTAGTCCAAAAGTCCCTCTTCAGACTCACGAAGCCACATGCAATGATGCAGACAAAGGAAGATCACAGGCCAGTAGGTGAAAAGTCCTGTCGATCCGATGGCAGTGGACACATCTCCAGGTCTCCGGCAGCAATCAGGAAGAGTGAAGGCAGAGAGTGGAGGAGGTTCCCAGGGCCCTCCTTTTGAGAGGACGGTGCCCACAAGGAAGCACCATCAAGGTTGTGACCTGATTGACAGACTAAACTACACTTCGAGAGATCTTCAAGTTATGTATTTTCAAGTTGACATGAAATTCCTAGGGGCAAGGATAGCGAGACTTCATCTCACTTACTTTGGACATGTTAGCAAGAGAGACCGGTCCCTAGAGAAGGATATCATGCTTGCTGAAGTCAAGGGGCAGCGAAGAGAGGAAGCCCCTCAGGAGATGGACGGACCCGTGGCTGCAACAATGGGCTCAGGCTTAGGAACAGTTGTGAGGGTGACTCAGGGCTGGGAGGTATTTCGTTTTGTTGTGCACAGGGTCCCTATGAGTCAGTGCCAACTCCATAGCCCGTCACAACAAGCCTTCCACTCTGGTGTGTGTCTGAGAACCCTGAGGAGCCAAGTGCCACCCGAGGAGAGGGCCACTGTGCCTGAGGGTCACTGCGTCAGCAGTGATGGCCAGTGTGGTGTGGGAGTAGTGAGCAGAGCAGACAGCAAGTGTCTCGGGAGGTGGAAACTGAGGCAGAACAAAAGAAGTGACCAAGGTCACGGCTGGGAGGGCCTGGGGTGGGTGGGGGTCTGTCCTGTGCTTCTCTGAGGCCACTCGCTCCCAGGACAGGGGTGTTGGTGAAGGTGGGTCATGCTGTGGGGGGAGTGTAGGTACAAGAGGGGTGTGGTCAGCTGTGGCTCAGCTCTGTGCCTGGCTGAACTATCCTGGGGGCCTGGAAGCACCCCTGCAAGCCAACTCTGGCTGAGGGTGCCTCGTCTTTCCCGCTGCAGAAGCTGCGCCAGGACATCCTGCTCATGAAGCCATACTTCATCACTTGCAAGGAGGCCATGGAGTCCCGGCTGCTTCTGCAGGTCAGGGGGCCAGAGGCTAGCAGGGGGGAGGGGGCACCGGAGGGCTGCCCTGAGGGTGCAGGGTCTCCCAAACTGTCCCGGGAACCTCGCTTAGTACCCTACCCACAAAGACTCGAGGTGAGCAGGTGTCTTCCTGCACCCCTGTGTCTGCAGTTGGGGGAGGGGTATGTGGGTGCAGCTGTTCCAAGCAGGCTGCCCATAGATCGGACTTGTTGAGGCCACCTACTTATTTTCTGGTGGGTGTTGGCTGCATACCTGCTGTACGCAGACACCGTCCGAGGCTGAAGAACAGCGAACAAAGAGGGGGGGGGGTAAGTGGGGAGGTGTGTCTGGAGCAAGTGTACAGGTGTGGGGTGGATTCCTACCTGAAGCCTGGGCACTGGTGTGTGCGGTGTCCTCACTGCCTAGGCCCCCATGGTGGGTCAGCCAGGTGTGGGTGAGTGTTGTTGGCCTCGCAGCCCTGGGTGTGGGTGGGCGAGGGTGGCCAGGTGAGGGTGCGTGCAGGGGACCTCACAGTCCAGGGCGTTGGCAGCTCCAGGACCGGCAGCACTTCGTGGAGAACGACGAGATGTACTCTGTCCAGGACCTGGTGGACGTGCACGTGGGCCGCCTCAGCTGCTCACTCACCGAGATCCACACCCTCTTTGCCAAGCACATCAAGCTGGACTGTGAGGTAGGGTGGTGAGGTGGTCACAGCCATGGTGGGGGCCGGGAGCGGTGGCCCAAACTGGCACGCATGCAGACACCCTGTGCCCAGCGCTGCCAGGCCAAGGGCTTCATGGGGTCTCAGCCCTGGGGGGCCCAGGCACTCACGCAGACACCCCGTCCCCAGCGCTGCCAGGCCAAGGGCTTCGTGTGCGAGCTCTGCAGAGAGGGCGACGTGCTGTTCCCGTTTGACAGTCACACCTCCGTGTGCACAGACTGCTCGGCCGTCTTCCACAGGTGGGTGGGCTTGGCCCCCGGGGTGTCCCTCCTGCCTGACCTGAGTGCTGAGGTGGCGAGGTCAGGATTGAACAGCCGTGTCTATGAGTTGAAGGCAACGGTAGCCAAGGGCTCAGGGGTGTGCTACAGTCCAGGCTGCTTGGATCAGCCTGACCCCCAGCTGGCCCTGCCTTCTCTCTCAGGCTCAGCTTAGCCCAATGGTCCACAAACTTCCCACTCAGCCCTTTTTCCAAAGCCCCTCACCCTCGTCCCCAGCCAAAAGGAACCCTATTAATTGCTCAAGTTCAAAGAACTTACAGACTCACAGGTAGCTCACAGGTACACCTGCTCCTATATGTGGGCAAGACTCTGACTATGGGAGCAGACAGCTTCATCTCTCTAGGGGCTGTTTGAAAAAGAACCACACACGAGATGAACGATACAACTCCTTCCATTCATAGATAAGCATTCATTGACTAACTAACAGGTGTGTGCTGGGTGGGTATACCTTCAGACTGCCTTGAGTCTGGGGTCAGAGTGGACACCGTCCCTTCTGTCCTGCCCAGACCACGTTTTTCATGGTCTTCGCTGTTTCTCATGGTGACTGCTGAAATCCCAGCTACCTATAATGTCCTAGGAAGAACCTCCCCTAGCTGTCTTTCCCGCTATCTGCCAGAGGTCACATGTGTCCCCTTCTAAGTCCACACTGTCCTGAGGTCCCTGGCAGTATCTGACAGGCAGCCATGTTCGTAGGGTGTGACTGCAGGACCAGGGGCAGTGGGTGTGAGGCCCTCAGAAGACTTTCGTATGCCCCGAGGCCCACTGACCCTGTCTCTGCCCCACTCCCTCCAGGGACTGCTACTATGACAACTCCACCACCTGCCCCAAATGTGCCCGCCTGACCCTGCGGAAGCGGTCGCTCTTCCAGGAACCCAGCCTGGATATGGATGCCTAGGGTTCAGGACAGCAAGGCAGGCTGGCACCAATCTGGGTGCTGCTTTGCCCTAGAGACATGCCCCCTGGATCCACCTGCTGGGCAGAGATGAGCCCACAGCCCCGAGGGCTGTCACTGTACCTGCTGCTTCTCTGTCACCTGTGAGGAGGGATGTTGAAGGGGGCTTCTCACCTCCCAGTGATGCAGAGCTGTGTGCTCGCTGGGGCTGAGGCTGCCAGCCCAGGTGGGGGGTGGGAGTGGGGATTCTCCGGAGTGACTTCAGATGCAATAATGCTGGCCACACAGAGGGGAAGGGCCTTCCACAGCGTTTCTCCTCCGTGCTCTGACCTGGGTGCCAGGGGTCCTGCTGAGGGCTGGCCCTGGCCCAGATGTGATGCTGAGACAGGTTAGGGAAGACAGTGGGCTCAGTGGCATTTCTCAGGAAATCTGTCACCTAGGAACGAGCCCATCCTGCTGTCCCAGGGCCTGCCAGGGCTCCAGCTGCTCTAAGCTGGCCAGCAGGGTCAGCTTCTGTCTGGAGGCAGACTGAGAGGCCAGGTGCCTCAGCTGCAGGGTCCCACTCCACATGACAGAGATCAGACCTCACCACCTTTCACCTGGCGGGCGTGGGACTGTGCTGGCAGGCCCAGTGCGCTGTGCACTTTGCAGATCCTTCCCCCTGGGCACGGCAGGTGGTGTGTCTGGGTCTCTGGAGAGCAGGGCTGCCCACACCTGCCTTCTGCGGCTGTCGTCTCCTTGCCCTGGACTGTTGGTGCCAACGAGCACCCAGGAGGTGGGAGAGATAGGGCTCCTGGGACCTCCCCCACTTGGACTAGGCAGCTAGTGGGGGCCCGTCAGCAGCAGGTCTGTCAGCTCAGGGTGGGGACCGGATGTGGGGTCTTGCCTGAATGGTGGTACCTGGCCAGACCCTAGGTC